GTGGTATTCTGAATAAATGATCACTCACTCATCTGTTATCAAGGCAAGTTTATTTTTGTAACACGTTTCAGTTACAAAACAAAGTGCTTTACACAATGAAAACATGAAAACCATACATGGTGGCTCAGTGATTAGCACTGATGCCTCACACAAGAAGGTCCTGATTTTGGACCTGGAGCACTTCCGTGTTGAGCTTGCATATTCTCCCTGTGCAATGGTGGGTTTGCTCTGTTTATCCTGGTTTCCTCCCACAGATAAAAATACGAATACATTCAGGCTCAGGCCTCCCTTTCAAGAGAGATCTGTGATCTCAGTGGGATCTTTCTGGTTAAATAAAGTACATTACAGTGACATAAATGAAAGTAAAGCAAAGCTGGACTGAAATGAATGATGTTTATGTTTTAAATGGTTTCTTTACTGACAGGTGATCTGCCAACATCAACAAATTAATTAACAACATTAAATATATAAAAATAAAAACTCACAATGAGTTGGTGGTTGTGTGAGACACCAGTGAAGGTCATGTAAAAGACAAATATTGTTCATGGTTTTCACTAACTTAAGAGACCAGATGCATTCCTGTTCATATGACTCAGACCTGAGCCACACACACTAATCCACAACTAGGTCAGTGGTGGCACAGATACATCTGGGCCACACACACCAAACCACGATTCAGTTTGCTTTATTTATTCAGGACAATGTGCAAATAAAACATAAATGTAAAATTATTTAATGCATTGCACCAGCTTTAGTCTTAGTCTAATTTTCATCTGTAATCCCACCAGACAACAAACACCACAAACAAATAATAAAACATCTAACATTACTGACCTTTCTTAAACCAGACAAATCCCATTGAGATCACAGATCTCTTTTTCAAGGGAGGCCTGGGCCTGAAGGCAACCTGTTGTACATGTTTTTGGTCTGTGGAAGGAAACTTGAGTACCCAGAGAAAACCAATGCAAGCATGAGGAGAACTTTCAACATCTGCACAAAAAGACCCCAGGTCTGAACCCAGGACTCTTTTGCTATGTTTTTGTAGTTGAGGGGTTTGGATGTCCCAATGATCCTAGGAGTTATTTTGTCATGTACCTGGTAGGGTCACATGAAGCAAACAGGTCCTAGGTGAAGGATCAGACAAAGAGCATCCCAAAGAACCTTCATGAGGAGCAATAAAATGGATTTGGTGTTGTAAAGGTCTAGTTTAGGATAAAATAAGCCTTTCCCACATCTCTCATACACAAGGTTATGAGGAAAATTTTACCATGGGATTTCTCATTCTTTGTTAAAATCTTGACTGTGCGAAGTGAAAATGACACAATAAGTGGAACACTCAGATGAGTTCAATTTGATCCATAATGTCTA